ACCGGGGTGGTGGTCCCTCTTTTTAAGAAGGGGGACCGGAGGGTGTGTTCCAACTATAGGGGGATCACACTCCTCAGCCTCCCCGGGAAAGTCTATGCCAGGGTACTGGAGAGAAGAATTCGACCGATAGTCGAACCTCGGATTCAGGAGGAACAATGCGGTTTTCGTCCTGGCCGTGGAACACTGGACCAGCTCCATACCCTCTTCAGGGTGGCGGAGGGTTCATGGGAGTTTGCCCAACCAGTCCACATGTGTTTCGTGGATCTGGAGAAGGCATTCGACCGTGTCCCTCGCAGCACCCTGTGGGGGGTGCTCCGGGAGTACGGGGTCTGGGGCCCTTTGCTAAGGATGAGAATCAGCACTTCCAAATCCGAGGCCATGGTTCTCAGTCGGAAAAGGGTGGTTTGTTCCCTTCAGGTTGGTGGAGAGTTCCTGCCTCAAGTGGAGGAGTTCAAGTATCTTGGGGTCTATCCTACTTTCTTTCTTTATTTATTCACACATTCATTCATTCATCTATTTATTTATTGAGCATTTTGGAGGTTGTAATTCACTGTGCTATTGAATATTACTGCATTATGGTGAGAGGTATTTCTAAGATTTATTTAACCATTACTCATCAATGAGATGGACAAAACATCAGAATCAGTCTAATGCAGTAGTTAAAATGTACCACAAATAGCAGCTGTTAAAATGGCCGTAACATTGACTCAACACACACTTAAAGCAGTTCAAATAAAAACTGAGCATTATAACCTGTGTGAACTGTTGTATTAGAAAGCATCATCTTTATCTATGTATACTTACAAAGCATTTATTTTGACATTTGAGCTGATGTCATCATTACCATTTCAGTGGCCTTTGGTATCACAAAGTCCATTAAAAAGCACTGTGGTAAAAACATGACACGCAACACAGCGAGTGTAAAAATGTGAGAGGCTCAGTTTTTTGTGGTAACAGCTGATACACACGAGCAACACTGTAGTTCGTAGTTCAAACTGTTTGTGTTGATGCAGCTTATAATACGCTGCTTTTGAAATTCATCCCAAACCACAAGTTTTCCAGTTCAGCATCGCAAATTTGTACTGGTCAGAACTACTCATGCAATCAGGACTGGCACCAAAGCCCTGCAGGATTTATTGTCATAATAACATCCAGTGTTTAAGAGCCTGTAATAGCTTTGTCAGGTTATATTTATTAGATTAATTTCTACAGATTTAATTGTTGCATGAATATTTAATTGTTTACCTCTTACATACTATATGAGACCTTTGGGACTTCAGGAAAACGAAGGGACTGAGTAAATTCTCTGCACAGGAAGCTCCTTGAAACCTACTTTTTTGTAAGGAAAATGTAT